ACATTTATCTCACCCCATCTGCTGTATTATGCATTCACTCCCTCCACCACAGGCATTCCATGGTTGCCATGTGTACCATCTACAAAATGCACTGCAGCAACTCACCAAGGGTTCTTCAATACACCTTACAAATCTGCGATCTCTACTCCCCAGAAGAACAAGGGCAGCAAATACATGGGAACACATCAACCCTTGAGTTCCCCTCCAAATGCCATGCTGCCTTGACATGAAAATATATTTCAATTTGTTCATCGTAGTTGATCAAAATCCCTGAATTCCAAACAAAGCAGCACCGTGGGAATACCTTCACCGCAAGGACTGCAGTGGTTCAAGATGACAGATCAATATCACCCACCTAAGGATAATTAGGAATAAGTGATATGCAAATACTATGAAGGAACAGAAACACTTACTTTTCCTACTTGTCTACTCCCAATATTTTCATTTATGACTCACATCAATACGAGAAAATTAACAGTTCACAATGAACAGGAATACTTTCAAGTAATTAATATTCTCTAGTTTCAATGTGATATATTTATTTGATTAAGCTACCCTTTTATTGATGCTACTACAGTGGAAACCCTTTTATGAAGCCTTTCAATTTGCCAACTGTTTTCTCCTGGAAAATAACCAGGAATCAGCAGAAACAGTAGCAACGCTTCACTCCAATAAACTGTTATTCTTCATAGAAGTGGTTCAAATAAATCACCCTGCAATAAAAGCAGTACTGTGTAATAGTGATGTTGCTCCTGTGAACAACTGGCAAAGGTCTTGTGGAGATTTTGATTACATTGTCAGTTAGAGGAATTGAATCTGACTGGTGTGAAAGCCAATGATAATGACGTGGCCATGTACATAGATTTAATGTGAATAGATAAAAAGTGTGGAAACTGGTTCTAAAACTCCTATTGCAGATTAATGGGGATTGGTGATTTATTAAAGTGGAGTTTAACTAGAAATGGTAAAAGGTTGAAGGCAGTGGGGCAAGAGGGGATTTGAGGGTGAATGGCATGTTGCAAGCCTCTGTAGAATATTAAAGTAAGATTGTGTTGTATTGATTGAAATTTTCATTGAACCATCCAGAAATATATTCCGAATCAGAAAACATTAGTTGCTAACAAACCAATGTAGTCTCTCAGCATCCAAATGTCAACTGATTGGTTGGCAATTAAAAAGAAATGAATTGACAGGTACCTTATCAAATGTTTAAATTAAGTAAAAGAGATTTATCATTAGTTGGATGTCATGACATTCTACTGAGGGAGAGATAAGTATAATGTAGTGGGCTATAGAAATGTTATGCATTCAACACTGCAAGTGTGTCAGGCTCTCTGCAAAAAACATAATGGTTCAGGAAGAGCAACTTGATCTTTCAGGTAGATGAGCTAAGCATAATTCAGATCCAAGGTTAGACTGAAGTTCAAGGTACCTTTTGGTCTTTCTACTTACTCTTCATCTATAGAATTCTTCAGCTGGATACCATCATTAACAGTAATAACAACTTGTATTTATTTGGTGTCTTTAAGGTATAAGCATATCCAAGTTATTAAACAATAATCATAAAAATGATGCTGATTCACTTAAATGGATTTATAAAGTTAACTGAAAGCTTAATCTTTGAATGATGACCTAGAGGAGGAAAAATGTGTGGAGAGGCTAAGGGAAGGGATTTCAAAGTTTAAAGTCTCAATAGCTGAGGGTACAGTGGAGGGGTTGAGGGAAATTAAAAAGACCAGAAAGCACACGATTATAGGACTGGAGGAGGCTATATGGATTGGGAGATGCAAGGCCATGGCAGGATTTGAAGACCGGTAGAAGGAGTAACTGTTCTTCTGCACAGATTTAGTTAATTTTGTGTGCAAAATTGTAATCTCTTCCCTGTGTAAACTGGAAGTAATTCCTCAGACCAGTTCTCAACCATCTATCTTGAATATTATGGATTTTCCAATTTTCATGATAGCTTTATGAATCCGTTATTTAATACTTCTTTAATACTGCTGGAAGGTTTGGCAAATTATTGTAATGCAACTATGTACAGGGAGAGACAAAGTATTCAGCACTTTAAAACTGATGATTACTATGGATTAAGTTAAATAGATAAATTTAGTCATTTTAATAAACAGTACATTCTGCAGAAACATTAACTCAGTCCTTGGCCACGAAAATAATTAGGTGAATATCACCCCTTGAGCTGTAATGACATTAGCAGCCATAACTTTCTCCCACATGTGTTTTCTATATTAAGAAAAGCATACGGTTTGGTTCTCTCATAAACTGATGAAAATGCAGAGCAGAATTGTACAAAGTTTAAAAAAAAACTTTCAGCCATTGGAAGGGGCTGTTAACAGTAGAGTTCCAGTACGTCTAGTTCCAGTTCTGGAAAGTAGACAGAAGGATCCTAGCAAAGTAAGGGGACAAAGGGTCCACAATAGAATTATCTATGAGGAATGGAGTCCAGATTGTGTGCGAAAGATGTTACAATTTAGCTTGTAGCATTAAGTCCATAATCGAGCATTGGCCTTGCCACTCTCTGTTTTGGTAGCTTCCTCCAACCCCACAACCCTGTAACATCTGTGCTTTCTGGCCTTCTGCCTGCCTACAATCTCTTTCAATGCCTACACTGTACCCTCAGTTCTCTAGATTTTAAGCTGTTAGCATTCCCTCCCTCGACTTCCCTACACCTCGGCTCCTCTAAGTCACCCTTCAAAGTTTGACTGTTCTTTTGGTTACTCTTCCAAATTAGATTTTGTGCCTTAATATCTTTGTTTTATGATTGCTCTTTTACTACCTTATAGACATTATATAAACATATTGTTGACTGGTAACTGTAATCGATTAACTACAGAGCTGCTGATGCTCTGATATTGTTTACCTCAGCAACAATACAACAAAGCATCCTCTTTTGCCTGTTGCAAAGATTTGTCAATATGATTTAGTTTGCTGCCCAAGATTGTGACAAGATATGTGTGTGGGGAGCACAAGATATTGTCTAGTGATGTAAAGGACAATGTGTTCAGGCATCTTGGTTGCAAGGACAATAACATGACATTTAAGACAACAACAGTCTCTCCATATCACATCACTGGTGTCAGCTATGTAAAGAACTTGGAGCTGTTCTATATTTGGCATCTGCCAGAGTTATTGGTTGTCCGGTATTGCTTTGGGAATTTCAACTCTAAAGGAAGTCAGGTGTCAGGTCAATGATAGGTTTTAGGAAATTCACAGCTCACTGGAATGCAATCGATAATAAGTTTTGTCCATGAAACAGAGACACCTTTTATTTGGCTGATGATAGATTTTAACCATAGATCCCTTGTATTTCTTTTTTATTCATGCTCCCGTTTCAGACGTTAAACTTTAAAGGGCGGGAGGGAGGTGAAACCATTACAAAACAAGGGAAAGATCTCATTTCAAAGGTTTCAAATAACCTAGAATTTTCTCTGCTATGTGATTTTGGCATTAAACAAAGATCAATCGTCTGGATGCCACACGAGTCATGCGAGAGGGTCTCTTAGTCTATAGTCTCTTATTTAGTCTACAAAAGTATACATTTTCTAAAAAAAAAAATTTTTTAATCCCAGTCGGTTACAGAAAGATGTAATTGTCCTCGCAAAGTATCAACATACTATTTTGGAACTTGCAATTTTACTGTCAGCGGGACTGAATCGTCACGCCCCGTGTTTCCAATAAGATCCAACTGAATTCCAAACCAGGCTTTCACGTTGTTACCTGTTGAAGGATGAAGCCTAAATTTTACGCGATCATTGAAGAGGATGCGGAAGTTCGAATCGCAAACTGTCACCTTGCCCGCAGTTTTGATGCAAACATGTATTTTGTCTTCATCGGTGCTTTACCATTATAACAACTGAAAGTTCGGTAGCAACAACTAATGATTAAGCAACTTCAGCCTCGCTGTATGTTGATCACGACTGGTTTGTTAAACTTAATTTCAATTTGTGGGATTGACTTGGAAACATGACGTAAATCACAATTGAGCTTTACATTGTACCTTTAAAATATGCACCTTCAAACTCTTCCTAATTGTTTGCGTGGTAGCTAGTCAAATGGAAGACATCTAACGCTGCAGTGTCTTAATATATAGTCATGTTTAACTCGCTCACTCAGGGATGACTCCCATTCCGTAGAAAGAAACGTGGGCGGGTAAGCATGTTTAGTCTGGAAGTGTTGGTCTGCACAGAAAAATTAACTGTTTAGCAACATTAGCAACAGATTCACTAAATCTGAACATAAATCTATCGGGTGCCACAAAGACAGGATAGGGACGCGTGGTGATCATTCAGTGACAAAAATAACAAAAAAACTTGCATATAGGCATAAAAATAATCTCCACTTTATACCCACGCTATAATATATGATGAATATCATGCAATCTCGCTAATGTACAGTAATACTAATGATGGTCCGCAGCTACAAAGCCATTCATCACAGTCCACTTGTACAATGAGAATTAAACACAAGTGTATTTAAATAAGATTGTTGCAATACATTTAGCCAGTAAAGCGGTTTTGTGTGTGTGTGGATTGGTTATGTTGTACTGCTGACTATAGTCTGCAAATTATGTTAGCACACTGCAAGGATGAACTGGCAGTGCGTTACACATACTCTACCGTGTTAAATTCCCTTACATTCCGAGGTCGCTGTAGGTGTTGAAAAATTCCATCTGGTTGCAAGCTTGAATCCAACCCACAACCCACGTTTCGTTCCTGGGGACTGGAGGCATCACAACCCGGGCGGATGCCTTGAAGTATGGAGTCTTGTACCGTAAAACAATGGGAGAATTCTCCTCGATTAGAGTTGGGCACTGATCAATGGTAGCAGAAACATCATACACCACTATATTCTCTCGACGTATCCTTGATTTACAAGTTATACTCTGAATGCAACCCATCCTTCCGGGTTTTATGGATATTAATATATTTAAAAAAAACTGAAGATAGAGGCTATGCAAAAAAAAATCAGCACTGGTAATCGTCTACCTTACAGAGCGCGTCAATTCAGACAACAGTCTTTCGTCTTCAGTTTGAATTCGTTATTCGGGTCCGGGCTATAGTTCCTTTTTTTTTGTTTAATCCCCCTGTGTGTCTTTCGCTTCCTTATTCTCATGTCACAAACGGCAGGAAGCAGGAGGAAGACCAGGCAGCATATTGGCAAAAAGATAAGAGGAGAGAGAGGATATGCGGGTTTCCCGTTGTAATCGAGTCGCACTGGGAGCGGAGGAAACGCACTGTAGCCACTGACCCCAGCATAGTCTGCATCTGTTTTGAAGCCTCGCAGAACCAGACAGCCTTTCTTGTGCCTTCATCGCTAACGGTTAATGAATCGCCAGGTCCATTCCTCCCCACCACCGCTCTTCAGCGAGGAATGAAGCTCGTAAGACCGGTAGAAAAGATATAAATAAATCCGATCTTTTTATTATTATTATTTTGGTTAATCACACGGTATTTGAAGAGTACCTGCATTGTCTGTCGTACGGCAGCACGCTGTCCATTACTCCTGATGCTGAAGATGAATGCGAGAGAGAAATCCTTTTTAGAGCCTCCTGGGACCCCATAGGCTGGATTTCCCACCGCCGCCCCCCCCACACACACCCCCCACACCCCACCCACCAAGCCCCAAAAGTGAAACACGATCAAGAGAATGCTCTCCCACTGCTTCAGGATTCCCAGGGATTAGGATACCGAGCGGCGCCCCCTTATGTACAACCAGTTCGCCTGAATTACAGTGGTTCGTGGAACTACACCGTTCTTGTGTTAAACAAATATACGCTTAATCAAACCGAACACAGCATTGGGATGAGACGTTTAATACTTTCCAAAACGGGATCCAATGTGACTAGATAAGCAAATTAAGAAAAAGAAGAGTTTGGCTTTCGCCGCACGATTCCTGTGTGTATGCTTGACAGTAAGACAAGAGAAAATGCTAACCCACACATCTGCGCGCTAGGGACCAGAGAACTGTTAATCTGAAATTAAAACATCATGCACAGCTCGTGAAAAGTGAACAAATAAGTTCTCGGAAGTTCAGATCTGACAAAAGATGCGCCTAAACCGTTCACCTTATCCCCATTGTTTGCTCATTTATCCTCTTGTATAGGGCAATGCATTTTGCTGACTTGAATTCAAAATTACTTTGAGAATTTCAATCATTAACAATTGGGTCGATGCTGTTAAACGGGACTTTTGTGTGAATTCAACCCTGTTGTTCTGCAAACTTCTTCGGGCGGCATGAAATTAAAGGAGCCCCCGTTACTTTGGCAAACGTTGAGTGTTCTCAAGACGCAACACACTTGCAAACAGTGCCGAACATGACGCCAAATGAAACTAATCCCTTCTGCCTGCCCGTGGTCCATATCCCTTCATTTCTTGCACTTGGTTACCTAAAAGTCCCTTAAATGCCCGTATCGTATCTGCCTCAAACACCACTCCTGCAATGCGTTCCAGACTCCCACCACTCTGTGTAAAAAACTTACCCCTCACCGTCTCCTTTGAACTTTCTCCCTCTCACCTTAAATGCATGCCCACTGTTCTGCCCTCATCCATCATCTTCATCACCTTCTCGAAAAGTTCAATCAAAAGTAAGACATGACCTGCCCTGCACAAAACCATGTCACTAACTGTTCTCCTGAATGACCTAGCTCTGATTTATAAGTCATAACCCTATGACCTTGACTCCAACAGCAGAAAATAGATTTTCTCCAGCCACTCCTTTCAAAGTTCTAAAAACCTTAAATCATGATTTAACCTTCTACAATCTAGGCATTACGAGTGTACTATATCTACTCTGTCCTAATAACCTAACCTCTGGTAATATTCTGCTGAACCTGCCTTTCCAAAGCCAGTATATAAATTTCATGGTCTGTACCCAACACAGCAATACTCCAGGAAAAGCCCAACTAGACTTTGTATAACTGTATAAATTTCCACCCTTTATATTCAAATTTTCTAGAATACAACAACCACATTCCATGTGCTTTTTTAATTGTTTTGTATCTGACCATCCCATTTTAGTGTTCTGTGTATGTCAACCCCTGAACCTCTTTGAATCTCCACATTCCTAATGTTTCACTATTTCAAAACTACTCAGATGTATCCTTTTATTTCATCCATATTGGATGACATCACACATAGCCACATTGAACCCAATAGTTGCGGTCACTCACTACTCAATTTCTTCCAGTTTGAGTACATACCCATCGACATTGTGCCTACTACCACCTTAACAATCTCCTAATCAACTCAGTAATTTTCTTCAATTCCATGAGTCTTAATGTTAGCTGACTCTGTTTGGCATGGAACTTTACTGAAACCCTTCTGGAAGTCCATATAAACTACATGCATAGACATTTCCCTGTCTATAACTTCAATTATATTCTCAAAAAATTGAATGAGGTTTGTTAGATGTGATCCATCCTTTATTAATTGATGTTGGCTGCATTCAATCACATTTCTCTGAACACACAATAATTCTGCAATACATTACGGATTCCAATAATCTCCCCAAATCAGATGTCAGGTTTATCATTTCCTGGTTTCTTTTCCTCGCCTTTCATATTTAACAGTATTACATTTGCAATTTTTCAATCTGAAAAGGCAGTTCTTGAACTGAGTGAGCTTCAAATGATTATGGCAAAGCGCCTGCAATTTGCTCATTTATTTCCTTTAAAATCTATTGATCCCAATGACCAGAGAGCATTTTTCCAAGATCGTGGAAAGTACAATTTCAATGCAAGCTTGTTTTTCCTTTTTTCAGTGTTCTGGAAGTAACAGATGCATTGTGCATATAGTGTTGTAAGAAAAAGTAGAGAGTGCAAACTCGAAGCTGCACTGTAATTAAGCGTATACTCAATATGGTCTTATGCAGCAGTGTAATCAATGCAATACATATAGGTTTATTAGAATGGTAAACTGTTGTTTTGTCTATTCATTGGGAATATGTATTGTGATGCGTTCAATTCTAATATATACAAGTCCAATGTTGCAGTTCACTCTACACTGATATGTCTGCTTTTGTAGTTCACTTAGTGCTAAATGATGCATGTCTGCTGAAGATTATTGAGTGTACATGCAGGTCTGCTGCAGTTCAATTAATAACCAATGTATGCAGGCCTGATGCAACAGTTGATTCAGTGCTAATGTGTATTGGTCTGTTGCTGCAGTTCGTGTAAAACCAATGCATGCAGATCTGAAGTAGTTCATTTAATGTTAATAAATGCAGATTTGCTGCAGCAATTAAATCAAAACCCCAACAATGTAAGTCTAATACTGCAGTTCATTTAACACCAATGCTTGCGAGCCTGTTGCTAAAGATCATTCACGCAGGTCTGTTGCTACATCTCATTCAATACTAGTATTTATGAGTCTATTGTTACAGTTCATTCAATACCAATACGTGCAGATCTGCTGCAGCACTTCATTCAACACCAATACCTGGAGGTCTACGGCTGCAGTTTATTCACATGCAGGGCTGTTGCTGCAGTTCATTCAATGCCAATATACGTAGGTCTACGGCTGCAGTTTATTCACATGCAGGGCTGTTGCTGCAGTTGATTCAATAAGAGTGCATGCAGGTCTGCCGCTGCAGTTCATTCAGTACCAACATATGCAGGCCTACGGTGGCAGTTTATTCACATGCAGGGCTGTTGCTGCAGTTTATTCTGCACAAGAACATGCAGGACGATTGCTGCAGTTCATTCAATACAAGCACATGCAGGCCTTTTGCAGCAGCTCACTCAATACCAACGCACGCAGGTCTACGGCTACAGTTTATTTACATGCAGGGCTGTCGTAGCCGAGCATTCAATACGTGTCCATGAAGGTCCGGTGCTGCAGTTCATTCAGTGCCGACATAGCCTCGTGTTGCGCGAAGTGGTTTGCACTGTGGCGGCGCGCTTGTTGCTGTGCAGGTTGCCAGGGTGATTTGATTGACAGGGAGCCGGCCCCGCCCCCTCCCGGGCGCCTTGGCGACAGCGGTTCCGCTCCTCCCCTGACGGTGCACTCCGGGGGGAACTTGGAAAGATGCCGGCTCCCTCCCCTAAATCCCGGAACCGAGAGCGGGAGCCGAAAGGCGGCGGCAGGCCTCTGGGCCTCCTGCAGAGAGCGGCTACCCCCGAACCTCCGTCGCCTCGGCACCGGGCAGTGCAGCAGCTGGAGGCGGCGGGCCTCCGCCGGGACTCGGCCTCCGGCACCAACCCCTGCCCGCAGCCCGACGAGGACTGCATGAAGCTGAACCCATCCCTGCTCGGCATCGCCCTGCGCTCGCTGCTGGCCGTCGACCTATGGCTCTCCAAGCGCCTGGGGGTGTGCGCCACCGAGGACTCGGCCTGGGGCAGCGCCCGGCCTATCATGAAGCTGATCGAGGTGACGGGCCACGGCATCCCCTGGATAGGAGGCACCTTGTACTGTCTGTGCAAGAGCGACAGCGCTGCTGGACACGAAGTGCTGCTCAACCTGCTGCTGGGTGAGTGCAGGCAGACACCGTGCAGTCTCCCAACCCTGACCCTCCAGGCCCAGCAACCAGAGGATACGCTTTCAGCATGGGGTGGGGATTGAATCTCTTCTTCTCCTCGTCCCACGACGGATTTGATCCACTGGACTGAGATTTACGAGGGGGGTTTGGGGGGGGTGGTGGTTGTGGTTTCAAGCCGGGTTGGGAAAGGAGGGAAATTGGAAATATGCCACAGGCCTAGAGCCCAATGGTATCAATGTGGATTTCACAAGTTTCAAAATCTCCCCTCCCCCTACCGCATCCCAAAACCAGTCCAGCTCGTCCCTGCCTCCCTAACCTGTTCTTCCTCCCACCTATCCCCTTCTCCCACCTCAAGCCGCACCTCCATCTCCTACCGACCAACCTCATCCCGCCCCCTTGACCTGTCCGTCCTCCCTGGACTGACCTATCCCCTTCCTAACTCCCTACCTACACTCACCTTTACTGGCTCCATCCCCGCCTCTTCGACCTGTTTGTTTCCTCTCCACCTATCCTCTCCTCTATCCCTCTTCTATCCGCCTCCCACTCTCTCCCTATTTATTTTGGAACCCCCTTCCCCTCCCCCTTTTCTGATGAAGGGTGTAGGCCCGAAACGTCAGCCTCTCTGCTCCTATGATGCTGCTTGGCCTGCTGTGTTCATCCAGCCCTGCACCTTGTTGTCTAGGGTTGAGGTTGGTTGGGTCCTGCCTCTGAAGCCTCGATGGGCCGAATGGCCGGCATCTTCAGTGCTGCGTGTTGCCGTAACTTCTCCACAGTAGTAGAATAGTGTCACCGCTGAAGGCTATGTGGTCCATCTTGTCTGATAGTCCTCCAAGGGTTATTCACCCAGTATCCCACCCCCTAACCTTTTTTAATTTCCCTACCCTTTTTTTCAAACTCCTCCTCCAGCACCACCACCACCACCTCCTAAAAATGATACAATTGTCTTTTAAAAGTCACAATTGAATCTGCTTCTGCCACATTGGTAGATCCTAACCGCTCCCCATGTTTAAAAAGGAAAGTTCTTCCTCTTCTTTTGCCAATCACCTTAAATTGGTTTTCTCTGATTTGGTGTCCTTCCACAAATGGAAATAGTTTTTCTTGAGGGTCTTTTTTTCAGGGCTCCTGTTTATACTTTCTTCACTAATTTCTTTTCCATCCTCACATTTAATCCCTTTGTTATATGGCTGTTGCATGTTAATATGTTTGACCAATATATTGGACTTCTTTCAGACTATGAAACTTATCTATGCTGTAGGTAAAGGTGATTTACTACATTTAGAATTCCAGAAGGCATTTGATAAGCTGCCATATCAAAGGTTATTATGGAAAATAAAAGCTCATGATGTAGCAGTAACATATTGACGTGGATAGAAGATTGGCTAGCTGACAGGCAGTAGAGATTAGGCATAATTCACTTCTTTTCAGGTTAGTAAAATGTAAGAAGTGTTCTGCCACAGGAATCACTGCTGTGACCTCAAATATTTACTATTTATATAAATGACATGGATGAAGGGACTAAAGATATGATTGCTAAATTTGCCAACAATACAGTTATGGGTAGAAAAGTGAATAGTGAAGAGGACAGAAGAAAGCAACAAAAAGATATAGGTTGTGAGTGGCGAAGATCTGACAAATAGAGTATAATGTGGAAAATGTGAAATTGTGCATTTTAGCAGGAAGAATGAAAAGTGTTATCTAAATTGTTAAAGATTGCAGAGCTCTGCAATGCTGAGGGTTCTGGGCGTCCTTATATATGAACTACAAGAGATTAGTTCGTAGATACAGCAAGTAATTAGGAAAGCCAACAGAATATTATAATTTAACATGGGAAATTTAATGCAAAAGTTGGGCGGTTATGCATGGTACAGCTGAGACTGCATCTGGCATGCTGTGAGTAGTATTGGCCGTCTTATTTCAGGAAGTATGTAAATGTTTTGGAGGTGATTCATAGGTTTACCAGACTAATACCTGAGATGGGCAATTGGGAGGTTGCCATATGAGTTAGAAAAAGAGATGACTTGATTGAAACAGGCAAAATCCCAAGTGGTCTTGTTTTGGTGACTATGAAGAGAATGTTTCCTCTTATAGGAAAAGTTACAACTATTGGGTCATTGTTTAAAAAAAAACGGGGTGGCCCACTTGAAACAGATTAGGTGAAACATTTGCTGTGATGGCAGTGGTGGAAGCAGAGTCCTTGATTTTTTTTTTAAAGCAGAGGTACATAGATCCTTGATAAACAATGGAGGTGAATGTTGATCAGGGTCAGTGGGAATGTGGATTTGACGTTACAATTAAATCAGTCGTGATCTTATTGAATGGCAGAGGAGCTGAATGGCCTTCTCCTGCTTTCTAATTTGTATGTTGGCATGTATGAATCAATATTACCTTCTGTTTTTCGGTTGACTTTAGGGGTCAGTTTCTTGCTGAGATAAATAAAATAGCACAAATACCCAAGACTGCATATTGTGTATTACAATATCTTTAAATCTCGGAACAATAAATAATCACTTTTATTAATTTATTATAAATCTTCAGTATCTTCTATGCATTCAGCAAACTAAGTAATTAAATATCTACAAAATGTAAAAATAATGCAATTTTTGAACTGATTTTCCAGGCATTACTATTTATGTAACTAGAAGGAATATAGTTTGCAAATAGCTTCCCAAACACCTTCATAAAAATGTATGTAGGATGCTGACTGGCATCCAGGTAAACAACTTACTGATTATCCACAGTTTTGCTTTCTGTCTCTCTGTAAGTTTTTATAAAAAGCATCAGTACCCTCATTGCCTCCCTATATGATCCCTATGTGCACTATCCTCTCAGTATTTTGAAATTATAAGTTCACAAATTTCATTGAACTTGGTCAGTGGTGGATAAAGTTGCATGGTGCATAAAGGGCATAGTGCCTACCTGCCTATTCATTACCCAGTCTTCAAAATGAGAAAAAAATGAAAGTGTTACTGATGAAGTCATTGAAAAGTCACAATTGGACAGTAAGTTAATTTCATTTCTAATTGTAATGAGCCTAAGGAAAAAGGAAGTTGTGAAATTTCCAGAAACTGAATGTAGATTTTGGAGTATACAATCAAGTTTGTTAAATAGATTTGTACTAAATTTTTAAAGCCATTTTAATAAAATTGATGCTGATGCTGATGCTGAATCAATAGCCTTAATCTTTAAGTCATGCAAGAATTACCTGCATTATTTCTACCCAGCAGACAGATGTAATCGTTCTGTTATTGGGCTAGTAATTGAGAGACCTGAGCAAATGATCCAGATCCTTCTATGGCAGCTGGGGAACTTTACTTCACATTTAACTAATTGAATTTAAAGGTTAGTCTCATTTATGATGACCATGAAAGCTCAGAGTTGTCATTAAAAATCCTCTGGTTCACTCACGCCCTTCAGGGAAGGAAATCTGCCATCCTTATCTAATGTCTTTTTGAGACTCAAAATCACAGCAATCTGGCTGATCTAGGCAGTGGATATGTCAACATATGTTGGCATATCCAGCCCAGTCAATCCTACAAACTGCTGTCACGAATATGTGCTTTGTTCCATCTCTGCCCCATAGGTTCCTATGAGACTTTTTGTGTAAGTTAGGAGTGTTATAGATAGACAAGTCCTTCTTTGCTCTGAATTGGAATCCATGTACAATAACAATTCTGAGTTTGGACCCCAGATTAGCCAGGCAATAGGCTGACATTATTCTCAATCAAACCTCTTAGCCAATGTTCTGGAAATCATAATTTTCCCTGGGTATTTTACATCCCACCAGAGGTGGCAGCGCAAGGGATGTGTGGTTGGGATGGAGTGACCTTCAGTATGGGCAACATTCATTCTGGACCCTTTGAAGTCTTGAAGCGCAATGTCAAAATTGTTCGAAATAACCTTCTCAATACCACTTAATGCTGTCCTTTAACTGATGCCTCTGTTGTTGAGCGTCACTTCACATCAACGAAGCACTGAGGGGAGCAAGGACACTTGCTGTACTCTGGCTGAGTGACTTAACCGGAATTGATCTGTTTGCATCACTACTGACTGAGATTGCCAAGTCCTGAAGGAAATAGTTACAAGAGAGCACCAACTTGAAGAGAAAACCAACTTGCCTCATCCTGACCACGCTACCTGTTGCAGTGTTTCTATGATGATATTGGTGGGATCGATCAGCACACAGTTGCAGACAACAAGGCTTGTCTTCGCACTGAAGACCTCCTCCATCATGTATGAGTCTCCAACCATGCTTAAGTAGAATAGAATCAGAACAGATCTAGTAGCTCCAAATTGGGCATTCTTGAATTGCTTGGGTCTGTGAACAGAAGAATTGTATTCTGACACAATCTGTAACTTTGTGGCTTGGCATATTTCATACTTGACCATTACTGTCATGTTGGGTGACGAACCCCATTTCCAAGAACGGTGCAGAAGAACATGCTGGGAACAGTGCCAGACTGACCCTTTGAAGCTACAATAAAGGGCTGCCTGCATGTTGCACAGTGGAAGTAGTGTGCTATTATTCAGAACTAAGATATCCCACAAGTAATAAATAGGATCAAAGCTTTGCAGGCCTACCCGATCCAGTGGTTAATGGTTTTGGATAATTAAACGATTAACCAGAGGTGGAGGATCCATAGATGTCCCATCCTCCTCAATGGCACAATTTAGTATGTGTGCAAAAGACCAGCCTGAAGCATTTGCAGTCATCGTTAGCTGTAAATGCTAAGTGGCTCATCTATCTCAGCCTCTTCTGGAGTTTCCCAGCATCATAGAAGTCATTGTTCAATCAACTTATTTACTCCATGACTGAGTGCAATGAGTCAAAGGTCATAGACCCTGACAATATCCCAGCATTAGTGCTCAGGATATGAGCTCCAGAGATGGCTGTGGCCAAGCTATTTCAGTACAGTGGAGATACTCCTAATTCCTCTGCCTCCGCCGCATCGGCTCCCAAGATGGAACATTCCACTCCCGGACATCCCAGATGT